ATTTATTAATCATGTCTTGCACTAGGGGCACAATTTCTCCTGTTATCTGAGAAATTATTTCTGATTTCATTTTTTCCAGATCTCCTTTGGTTGCCAGTTCAGTGGGTCCAGGTGGTTGAGTATCAGAGTGTTCCATCTCATTTCCCTTAGGGGTTGCTGTAGGTGATGTGGAAGTCTGGTTTTGAGACTTATTTACATGTGTTCTCATTTCGACTGGGCAGGGGGCTGTTAGCTCTTGCACGGATTACCTCCTCTGTGCTGGGAGAGGTGGGACAGGGGCCGGGAGCAGCAGTAGGGATGGTGACCCAAAAGCCCTTTCCTGTGGGCTGGGAACAGTGGGAGGGATGGTAGCCAGGAAGCCCCTTCCTCTGGACCAGGAGCAGTGGGATGGCTGCTCAGAAGCCCCTACCTCTGGGCTGGGAGCAGTGGGACTCAGTACCTTTGTCTGGTGGTCTGGTATCCTCTGCGTCTTTGTAGTGTGGAATCAGGTGGCTGCCTGTCTGCAGTGGGGTGATTCGGCACCTTCTGCGTGACTCAGGATCTCGGTAGGGCATGCACAGACCTGCCTGTCTGCAGCGGGCTGATTCGGTGTGTTCCGTGCCACTCAGAACCTCGGTAGGGCATGGCTGTACTTACTTCTTATGCAGAAGCAGAGCTCTTCTCACATCTTTAAATCCATGCCTAGGAATTTCAAATCTTCCCCATGATTTTCTCTAGTAGATAGGAACAGTGTGTGGTGGAATGCTTGTATCTCATTGTCACCTCTCTTTAATCCAGCTTTTATGTCTTGTGATGATGTCTTTACAATAGCTCTGACATTGACCTTAATTCAAGACCTACATTCTCTCCTGGGTTTTCCACCTCCAAAGAAGGCGTACCTGTAAATTACTGCTGAGCTTTTACTAATCATTTGCATTCTACATTCCAAAGTCACAGAGCACTTTATATCACAAAGAATTAAAAATATGACAGTCTCAGAACTCTCAAACCTTTCCATCGTATCATTTTTACTGGTTCTTTACAGGAGCCTTCCAGGCCTACATTCATGTTATTTCACTAGAACCTCTCTCATTTTTAACTTCATTATGTCATCACTTCTATTATCTTGGAAATCAGAAACCAAAGGTCTCTCTCTAGGGTGAGGAGTGGTTCAATTCTATGTGAGCTTCCAAATAAATATATCAAACCAATCTGAGCATTCAGAAGATAAAAGATGGCTTTTATTTCAGAGGCTATATTTTCACTAAAACAGAATACATCCTAGGATGGCAAATATTTCCATTTTCACTTGTATTCAGTTTTATAAATGTAAAAACCATCTATGACAAATGTATGTTAAAAAATTCTTGCTCTAGTGGTCCTGATTTATAATTTTTATCCAGAAAGAAATAATGGCCAAGAGGAAAAAGGATGAGAGTCATAGACACCAGTGTAGATTTTGTAGTCATGGTCTGATTAAATGTCAAAGTTCATGAGAGTTTGAAAGAATCTACTTCTCACGCTTGTGAAATGATCTTAAGAAGTATTGTAAAGACACATGAAATTCACTCTGTCCATATTCTATGGGTTAAGGAGAAAATTACACAAGGTTATTGTAATAGGAATGAAACTTCTTGATAAGGAGTTCTATTCTCTAATGACATTGTATGAGTGACTTCCAATTGTGTTCTTAATACCATGTTCATAATTAGTCATTCCCTCTTTTCTTCTTCAACTGGTACTTTGAACTAGCTGTTATGAAATATAAAACTGATATCATGCATATTCCTTTGTTTCAAAATATTCATAATCATTTTTAAGCTTTGTTCTTCTTGCAGCACAAAAATATCTGTCAGCTAGCTGTTTACGTGTGTGTGTTTCTTTTTTTTTTGATACTGGGGATTGAACTTGGGACCTTGTGCTTGCAAGGAAGGCACTGGAACCACTGTGCTAAATCCCCAGCCCTCAGCTAAGTGTTTATAAAGCAGTTTGGAAAAGAGGGGAGGAGATTCATAAGCTGCCACCATTTCTGCATGGTTTGAGTAATCCCCAGTAAAGTGCCTCAAGCAGAAAATGTAGTTGTAAAAATCAATTGTGAAGTTCAAAAATGGCAAAGCCAAATTTCTGAATGTTGACACTAGGTTTCTAACTTTCCGTAGAACCAACTCCTGGCCTAAATTAGAGAGAAAAGCGAGGAGTATTCATTCCACCATGTCCCACTTTTACTAAATTGATTTTGAGATAATTTATAACCTCAGAACTTGAATAAATGCGTACTTCTAGACATATTCTGAGATCAGTACTTGAAAGACATAAGATAGTTCAAGGAGAACTAGACTTTTTGGTCAATTTCTTTGTTGATCATGGAAAAACACACAGTATCCTGTACAATATCCTCTGTGTTCCACTGTAAGACATGTGTTTGTACAAATGACACCTGCACTCTTTGCTCACATATGTCACATGTTAAAATTACCATTCTTTTTAGAAATACAAAAGAATAGAATAATGGTAAAGGTTCCATCTGGCAGTTTGAGTTTGTGAAAAATGACTTCTTCTGTGAACAGATTTATAACACATTGAACACTCATGTGACATTGGTTGGCATTGAAATATGGACAAATGGAGACAAAATATCACAAGTTTCAAATGCAGAGACTACCTTACTGCGTTTTTCAAACTGGCAAGAGACAGTCCTTAAAAAAAGGAAGAATTTTGACCATGCTCTGTTACTGAGGTATGTGACTACTCTATTATCCTGCACACCTTTGGTGGCTTATTAAAATAGATAGCAGAACAAGTGAACAACTGAAACAATTTTAAGGCAATTGACTTTGGTTAGGGCACAAATAAAAAAATGTTGCTTCTAGTTATACAGAGAATTTCCAAGTGGACTATTTAATAATCTTCCTTTCCAAAATTGGATAAGAGTAGAAAGGACAAATATATATACTCATTCCTGCTCAGAGTTGAAAATGTCATTGTGTAAGGTAAGTAGTTTGAAACTCCATGTACATTACCTAGCAGCCACTACCAACTCCCCTCATGCTCCCATGCCATGCCACCCCAGTAGTCTATAAGAACATGCATTTCTGGAAGGCATCTCTCCCTCTAGAGAGTTTCTCTCATCAAAATATATGTAGCCAGGTGCCACTCCCCACAACAATCTTCTTTACTGGACAATAAAGAAGACAACTAATCTGGTAAGTTAAACCTACCACAACTGTTAGATTCCCAAAGAAAAGACTGGATTTGTGTACTCAATCATTAATTTCTTTAAAATTTGATGTTTATGTAATTTTTATTATTTAAAATATCTTGCATAATTCTTAGTCCTGAGGGAAATGATAAGCAATTGCAGGACTAAACTTAACACAACCTTATGTTTGGCATGGTCCTCTTATCCTAGGTAATGTTAAATAGTGGGAGAACTACTTCGGAGCAATGGCACCTTTTAGCAACTCTTTTGATGAACCTCAAGTTACTGTATTAGCATAGCCCCCGGGTTTTCTACTTTATCTACCTATAATATCAACATTTCTCCAAAGGGCTGCAAACACATCTTACTAATCTTCTTTCTGGTTTTATGTAGATATTAGCTTTCAGTTGAACTCAGTAACATGAAACTTTCAGAGTCAGTAATCAGAGGTCAATTCTATTTCTTCGGTATTGAATGAGTGTGAACTAGACCTCCAAAGTAGCGAAAGTCTTGGTTTTCATGCCTGGATGGATCAAAGTATATTTCTGCAGTGGTGTAGTTGTGCCTGCCTTGGGCTTGGATCTTTTAGCACTATCATGTCCTGAAATTATGGAAGATGAAAGGTAGTAAAATACCCCATCGACTTCATAGTGGGCATGAATAACCCTTTCCCTCTTTGTGCAAATGTTTAAATCTACTTAATAAGTAGGTCGAGAAATATTTAAATAGATATGAGTGGCCAACATTTTACCTTTATAGCATTTCTTTTATCCTGGCCAGTAGCTTCCCCTATCAATAGGATGTCTGCAAACAAAGTGGGAGATGAGGGTGAATTGCTTCTAAATGTCCAACTGAGCATCATATTTGGGACTTCTTATGTGTTGGGTTTCCTGTGCGTCTTCGTTTCTGTATTCATATAGCATAAGGCACCCTCTATGTGTTAAGGTAGTCTCTAAGGCATTGTCCTGGCCATGCTTTTGCTTTTAAGTGACCATAAGGGAAGCCAAACTCTAGATCATCTTTACCTTGATGATTCACCTCTATTCATGCTGTTCTCCTGGAGTCTCCAGAATTAGGAAGACTAGAATTCCAAGCTCCTCCATGACATATAGCCAAAAAACTGACATAGAATGCAGCAACAGAAATCCATCATTAATAAAGAAAGAAACAGAGTGCACCTACTTGATCTTTTAAAAGGTTAGAGACTAGAAGGGGTGAGCACCCTGGTCACTTACCTTGTGCTTGAATCCTATATATCTGAAATGTTGTCTTCCAGCCCTGCAGAGCTCTCTTTATTGTAGCCCAACTGGAGAGGTTGTTTCTGAATTAAGTCAAATGTGAATACCTGTAATGTACACATCTTCAGTTGTCTTTCTAGGCAATCCACAGATGGTCCTCTTTTTACATGACAGCTCTTCTAAACATTTAATTATAACTATCATATCCTCTTGAGTTTCATTTGATTAAAAGTTTTAAGGTTTTTCAATCATATATAATTAATCACGGTGTTGAGTACATTGTTTCATGTTTGTTCTCTTGAACACTTTTAATTGAATCCATTAATTTTCTTTTATTTTATTGATCATATAAATGGTTTTATTTAAAGCCGAGTTGAGGATAGACTAAAGAAAAATCAGATGCTTAGTTTTACTTTTTGCTTTTTAAAAAGTACCTTTGGTTTATGATTTCAGCTGAAGTTTGAGTTAGCTTTTTCAGTACCTCTACTCTAGTTAGGTTTAAAATGAGGTAAATATCAACTCAAACATCCTCAATTCCAGAATCGTGGAAATAAAAGACACTTTCATATGCATAGGCATTAGCACTGTGGTGGCTCACTGCCACTGAGTCTTTGTGTTAAACTACTAACTCTGACTGAGGAGTGTTTTTGTGTCCTGTCTTTGTGTCATGTCTGTAGTGGGAAGTGGCTCTACACAAATGTACAAGGAACTTCTTATCGAAGGGGTATGTGCCTGCCCACTTATTCCTCCAGTGTCATTAAGGTGAGCTGTGTTCTGTTTCTATCCTATTACTTAATCAAAACATTTGACCTAATTTCTGTAATGTTTTGTGCCCCATTGAAAGACACCATATATGCATTCTGTCATATATACCCACTAACAAGTTATGAAAATTTACATGTCTTTTGTTAAATGAGAAATGTCATATAAAAACTATACATAAACAATAAAGGTAAAACAGTGTAGTTTGTAGTTCAAAAGAATGTCATACACTGATTAATACATGAATAATAAATCTCTTTTGTCTATTAAATGCAATTACTTATGGGGACAAAACTATATTTATACAATTCATTTCATACCTACAGGTTTGCCTTGGTATTTCAATAACATAACTTTTTCAGAATACAGTCAGTCTACTCTGATGCATGCTGTTACAACCTCAATTACATTTTAATCAGTCCAGGAAACATTTCAAACTTTATATGAATAAAATGGACAGATTAAGGTGTTTCATTAGCTTTACAGTAACCCAATAGCCTATCCCTCTTTGGAAATATTTCTTCATTAATATAAGCATCAAAACATGAATTGCAACTATAAGCCAAGGTAACAAACCACGCTGCCACGGATATTATATCTCTGACTTTTAGGCTTCCTCGTAACAGAAACTCCTTCCACAAGATCATATGCATTGTTGTTCAATGTAATATTATAAATTGAAAGCATGAGCATCACATGTTTTTGTGTCCCCTTTGACTAGATAGTATGAAGAAGACAATCATTAACATTTATTATATAGTGTTAGTCCATTCAGGCTGCTGTGACAAAATCCTGCACCATAAACTGCATAAGCAACAGAAATGTTCTTATCACAGTTCTAGAGATTGAGAAGTCCAGGGTCAAGGTTTTGGCAGATTTGGCATCTGGCAAGAGTCTACTCTACTGGCTCAAAGTTGACCTTCTTGCTGTGTCCTCACATGAGAGAAGGGCAGGAGTATCTGCAGGACCTCTTTTAGAAGGGCAGTAATCCCACTCATGAAAGGTCTGTGCCTACAACCTTGTCTCCTCCAATCTTTGGGTTTAGGGCTTCAAAACCAATGCGTTTTAGAATGACAGATGCATCCAGACCATAGCAACATTAGTATTTTTTAGCTATTGTTGTGATTGAGTATATGTAAACCCAACAATGAATAATACTGTGCACACACACACACTTCAAAATTTTACAGCTATCAACACTTAAAATTCATTTTCCCAGTTGCATCATCAACTGAGGTACAGAGGGGGAAGTAATTAAATCCCTGAGTTAACAAGGACCTGCAGACTGTCTTTCAGCCAATAGTCGACAGGGCTATCTACAGACTACAATGTGCTTTCTTTGAAAAATTTCTAATGAACTTTTTTTGCACCAGGATCTTCTACCTGATGTAAATATAATTGCGAACAGAATGGCACATCACTTGGGACATAGCCTGGGCATGCAGCACGATGAATTCCCCTGCACATGTCCACTGGGGAAATGCGTGATGGACAGTGCTGGAAGGTGAGACTCAGATCATGCGGCGAGTATGTTTAAATATTTTGGAATATATCCTGTGAAATATTTTGGAGCATTATTTTAGGAATGCATTCATATTAAATATAATTTTCTGCAAGCTCTATTTCTGAAAGTACACGGTGATCGATTAGCACAACTTTAAAGACGCGTAAGAGAGAAATGGATTCTACACGTCTTGGCTTGCCATCTTTACTATAATTTCTTCCTTAGCATCTTTACCCAAATATCATTCTCAGCAAAGCCCTCCCTGGCCACCTGATCCAACTTTTGAATCCAGTTTCATCACACACATATCCTGGTAGTTTTTTTTACTCCCTTCCTTTTTGTTTTGTTTGTTTTTCTCCGTCGTACTTTGTACTATCTAACAGATCTGATGTAAAACACAAAATTGTTTATTACATTCCTCTTTCATTAGAACATAAGCTCCTTGAGGTCAGAAGGTTTTGTCTTTTTTTGGTCACTGTGATGTTACTATGGTCTAGAAATTCCCGGGAACCTGTTAGGTTCTCCATAAATAGTCCCTGGACGAGTGGATACTCAGCATCCCCCATTACATTGTCAGTCACGTTATGGTCAGTCCTGCCCTGCACGAGGTGGGGCCTTTTCACAGGAGGTGTGCATAATGCTTTGGGTGTAGTAAGAAAGTGTCTGTTAATGATGATCAGCTCTCCCAGATATTGATTAAGGGGCTTAAAATAGCTAAAATACACAAACACAGTGGCGGGGGCATAGACTAAGAATTCAAAAACTGGTAACTAATTTCACATGGTTATCTACATACATAATCTCATTCAGAGTAACCCATCCCCATCCAGTGCAGCCAAGATTCTTAAAGTCCTCCTGTGTTCAGGCACAGTACCAATAATAATGCCAAAAGAGGCAAAAGAAAGATAGGAAGGAGGTTAATTTCATTTTTAAAAGATGTATATGGCATTCCTAAGCATGGATACTATATAATTTGTTTCAGCAAACATAAATCGATAACTGCTTTGTGTCAAGCACTGCACCAACTTGTAGGTTTTTGTGGTACTGGGGATTGAACTCAAGGCCTTTAACTGAGCTCTATCCCCAGTACTTTTTATTTTTTATTTCAGGTACAGGGTCTCAAAAGTCACTAAGCTGCCCTGGCTGAGATCCTAGCTGTAATCCTCCTGCCTCAGCCTTTCAGAGTGCTGGGAAGATAGGCATGTGCCACCATGCCTGGTTTGGATTTTCATTTTAATTTGATCATGATATATATTCCTTGCCTTGAGAAACTTTTAATCTTGCAGGGATGGTAAAAATAGATATATAGTATTATAAACTGTTTCAACGTGGACTCATGTAGGCAGACATGGGAGCAACAGATATGGACAACCAGTCCAAGATGTGGGCTTCGGGAATGATTTCCTGGAGGAAGTATCACTGCAATATCACATTTTAGCTGTGCTTTAAGATACTTTCAACAATGATGAGCCCTGTTCCTGCTCTGCTCTCACAGTTAACATTTACATTTGCCCTTCCTAAATTTTTTATACAACTTTCACAGCTGCTGTGCCACGATGCATCGATACAATAAATTTCTACTTTTATCTCAACCCATTCAATTTCTAGCATTCCTGCAATAAAATTCAGTAAATGCAGTCACATCCAGTACGAGCAGTACCTGAAGGATTCTAAGCCAAACTGCATGCTCAATATTCCATTTCCTGCCAATTTTAATGACTTCCCATTTTGTGGGAACAAGAAAGTCGATGAAAGAGAAAAGTGTGACTGTGGGCCTATTCAGGTATTTGAGAGTGATGTGTCTTTAAATCACAAAGCTCATACTCGGCTAAAATCTAAGCAGGGATAGCCATGAAGCATATCAACCATCGTGTTCCTTATGAAACTTTGTAAAACTAGACTTTTTCTCATCTAGAAACAAGATGCTGGAACAGCCTCACTTCAAGGCTACTTAAGAAATCATGAGTGTGCATAATGATCTTGCTAAAGATCAGCACCTTCATGTTCACCTGGTTTATATATTAATTGGCTCACCTTTTGAGAAGGACCCTTAGGTGTCCCTATGCATGAACTTGCATATACAGTAGCAAGTAGCCTTCTTACAAAACCCCTCAGAGTGAGTCAATTGAGTTTTACTCATGGCTGCAGGAGGCTAGTCTATATCACAGCTGGACAGATCTCATTATATATTAGAAAACTCTTCATAGAGCAGAAATTCTCAAAAAATTTTCACATTTCTATTGTAGTCTTTGTCTTTGGAACATTTAGACAAAAAGGCTTTTGAGACAAATTTTAAAATAATTCTTAATCTGATTTTTTTTCCCCAACATAGAACTATTTCTTTCAGGAGCTCATCAAATAAATATGTGTCCTAGATAACTTACTACTTAAATTAAAAAGCACATACAAATCCCTAGGGAAGTATGGATATGTTCTCTGGTCCAGTAGGTCTGCAGTTGGGCTGAGAGTCTGCATTCCTACCAAGCTGCAAGTTTCTGTTGATGCTACTTCTCTGAGAACTACATTTTTAATATCTGTGCTCATTTCAAAAGTAGCCTAATATGACAGCTCTCATGAGACTTCACAATCAGAGCAAGGACATTGATCTGTCCAGAGATATAGGATCTCATCTTCATGTTTTAGATTAACTGTAGGGCCGGGGATTTAGCTCAGTGGTTTCACCACCTGCTACGCAAGTGCAAAGACCTGAGTTTGATCCCCAGTACCAAAAAAGGAAAAAAAAAAGAATGCATAGATTAACTGTAAAAGGGCTCTTCATTTTGACCATGTGCCTTCTTTGGAATGGTTCTATGGGTTCATTCCAACACAGGAAGTACCTTGATCAGACACAGACAATTTCGAGTGAAAATTTAATTTTATTCAAGTAGATAGGGCTCAGAAGCTCATCTGGCTATTATTATATAAAGATAAATATTTTTAGAAGAAAGGTCAGCCTGATCTGCTTGGCATCTTGAACAAAAGTCAAGTTCAGATCTTTAGAAACTGTACTGTTTCATGTGAAGCTTTAGCTTAAGGAAGCAATAGGAGCCTTCAGGGAATGGGAGTCATCCACAAAGCAGAAGGTTGTAGACTCTTCTCCTGCCATTGAGTGTTCATAAACTGGAGTATTGACAAGCCAGGAGGGAAGGAAACAGAGTAAAAGTCCCAAATACTAGCTCCAAACTATAACCTTTACCCACATATTATAGCCAGGGATCATACGGTTGTCTTTAACTCTGAAAGATCAATGGGTTAATTAGTTGTGCTTCTGTTTAAACAAAAGCTAAACCACAAATCAACTTTCTGATATTTAATTTTTGATTGTTGCTAGGAGTGCACTAATCCTTGTTGTGATGCACACATGTGTGTATTGAAGCCAGGATTTACTTGTGCCCAAGGAGAATGCTGTGAATCTTGTCAGGTAAGACTCTTGGATAGGAAATAGTTTCTCTGTGTTCAGTTTAACTTATGTAAGTCCAGGGAGCTGTTTGGCCATGGACGATCCTCCACCATAAATTCTCGGCAATACCTATTCTGATATGCTCAGACTTCTGAGCACAGGTTGATGGCTTTGATCAGGGGAGTGGAGACACTGGTGAGCATCTTTCGGTGTTTTAGGAGTGACATCACATGGCCAGCACTATTCCTGCCCTTCTGTAAATTATTAACAACCTGTATAACATCAGCTGAGCATAAAATTGATGTCCCAACACCATGAGCTAAATGGAGAAAAGGATTATGCTGGGATTTGAAAGTGATCATGGCTAGTAAGGTGGAGAGATAGTCATAGAGGCGACTAGGTGACTCTGTCCAAGGATTCATTGACACTTCATTCATCCTATTGGACTATGAGCTCACAAAGAACAGATACATGTCTTTTTCATCTTCTAATCTCCCCAGAATCAGTACCAATAAGTGTATATTGAAGAGCTGAACAATAGAGATCTCCATGCAATTGTCTCCAGCAATAAAGGCCAGGGTATTTTTCCAGTTCATATGGAGATACTGATCTCTTGGGTATGGAGATTTCTTATTATAGGCAGGGGTTTCCATTTGTATGCAGGCAGAGGGAGTAGTATACTGGAGGAAGGAATTAAGAGAATATAAGATAAATGAGAATACTTGCCCATCTTACCATTTTATAACCATTACACTTCTATCTAAGACTGCTCTGATAATAAAGTTCAAAATCATGACCTTATCATCCTTAAAATTACATAGCATTTCCAAATGAGAATAATTTCCAGTGGAATGGAAGTTATAATGCATCCTTAGAACCTTTGTAGATAAATTGCATGGTCAACTTTTTACCTATTTATTGGACCTTACCTATCTGAATGTGTCAAAAATTCAGTCTGTGTTTCTCTTCAACAGATAAAAAAAGCCGGGTCCATGTGCAGACCAGCAAACAATGAATGTGATTTTCCTGAAGTCTGCACTGGCCATTCTTCTGAGTGTCCTAAGGATAGGTTCCAGGCCAATGGATTCCCTTGCAATGATGGAGAAGGCTACTGCTTCATGGGGAAATGTCCCACACGGCACGACCAGTGCACTGAGCTGTTTGATGATGGTGAGAGATTATCGCAGTGAATGTTTCATAAAGACAATAGCCTCTACTTATCTGTAATTATCACATAAGACTTTGGGACAAGATTGGGAATGGTATAATTTTTGACCTTTTTTCAAAGTATCACTTAGCATCTCTTTGAATATTACCTCTATTAGTTGATCTTTACTCCATTATTAATCGATTAGCTGTGTATGTTAACTAACGCATATGTGTTACTGTTTTATATCTCCATTCCTACTAGCATACTCTCCTGATGCAATGGGATAGCTTTAAAAATATTTATTCTATTCTACTTCACCACTGCTTGACAGTCATGCTACGAAAGTTCTATTGCATTCGAAAATAAGGTGTTTTAAGATTCTCAATTTTCCTCCCTTCATTGGTTGTTTTACTTTTTTCATATCATGTGCATTTCAGAAACAAGAGAGAGTCCTGATGCCTGCTACATGATGAATAAAAAAGGCAATAAATTTGGTTACTGCAAAAACAAGGAGAACAGATTTGTTTCCTGTGAAGAGAAGTAAGTGTCCAGTGGGAAAAAGTATGTGCTCTATAGTAGTAGTCTTTGGAAAATTGGAAAGACTCTCATTCTGACAGCTGTTAACTTTATTTGGCCAAGATATTAGGAATACAGAAGAGCTGGAAAACAGAGAGTGCACATTCCAGACTGCATTGACTGTTATTTGCACACTGCATTTATTAACTGAAAGTCATAGAATATAAAGAGGTAAAACAGAGCAGACATAAGGTGCTTAGGAAAAAGGGGGAAAAAAGTCTTACCTAAAAAAAAAAAATGAACAAAGGAAGGAAGGGGGAAATAGCTAAAAAGTGAGACAAAGAAAAGAAAGAATTTTAGCCATGAAAAGAAAAGTAGAAGTTGAAATTCTGAGAGGAGGAGTTTGGGAATTTAGGTCTGAACCAGAAAGAATGAGTTAGGCCAGACTTCCAGGTTTGCCTACTGACATTCTGCAGGAATTTCTATGGTGACAAAACAAAATTTGAACTGAAAACAACTGTCACAAAAGCTTATTGTCCAGTTCAGCTGTGTTCCTCAACATGCTAGCTGAAAGTGGACTGCCATTTCACTTCTTTTACTTGCAGTTGCTGCCTGATCCGGAAAATGTGAGTTAATATGTCAACAAATTCACAGCTTGATTTTGTCAGAATCAGTTGACAGGCTCTATGAAAGAAAGTACAAGAGGGAAATTTCAGTGTGCTCAAGAAAGTCATGTTAATTCAAGTTCTAGTAAGAAAAAATCTTCGTAAGCTTGAACTAATACAGATTGGTGAGAATCACAGAGAAATTTTAAAGTGATTATCTTGTACATTTTATCTCCTCTACTGAGTTCCCAGGGCCATTGCTTTAACCATGTAATGTTTTGCTTAGTCATAGTCAAGCTTGAGTATCCTGTTGACAGAACTGAGTCTAGCAAAATGTGACCCGGCTTCTTTGCAGCAATCCTGATCTCTGATGATATTTCTAGTCCCCAGTCTCAGAATGTTCTCCCTCCCTTCAGAGACATCAAGTGTGGAAAGATTTACTGTACTGGAGGACACCATTCATCTCTCCTCGGAGAAGTCAAGAACTTTCGCCTTGTAGATTCAAAGCATAATGTCACCATCAAATGCAGAACCATCTTTTTATATCACAACTCTAAAGATATTGGTCTGGTTGATCATAGAACAAAATGTGGAGAGGAGATGGTAAGATGGAAACTCTTTGTTTCATTAAAACTTCTCATTTAGTTGCTCAAAAAGAGTATTGGATCCTATAATTGGTGCCAGAGGGACTTATATATGGGAAATCAGGGAAAAAACTGGCTACTAATTTCTTTTATTTTTGAGGAACTCTAGCAATAACACTGTGATATTCCTTTTGCTTTATTTCAGTTATAGAAGATGATATGTAATTGTTATAAATATGCTTAATTAGTATCTTATAGTAGACTTCTAACAATATTTTTAATTAATGTGACTATAAAATCTGTATATGTTCCTCATTTATTTTATTTATTCAACCATATTCATTGACCAAGTATTAGGTTGTCAGAAACTATGCTAGATACAGATGATTTAAAGATGAGTGTACTTGAAAATTTCATTCATTAGACTACACAGATCATCACAGTTCGCCAAAGCACTTTGCAAATGGTGAGATTAATGTGCATCTGGAATCTAGAGGCAGCAGTGGCTACATGCCTGTGGAACGTGGGTGACGTCTTACCTTTCAGCTTTAACCTGGTGAACAACATTTTTAATGAAGAGAAAATGGGAAAGACTTATTTTTTTCAGCTTTTAAAATTTAATTTTAATTGATACTTGTACACAGTTATGGGGTGCAGTGTCATATTTTGACACATGTATACAGTGTGTGATGGTTGAATCTGGCTAACTAGTACATTCCTCACATGCTTAAAATTTCTTTCTGTTGAAAACATACAAAATCCCCTTTTCTAGTTAGAAGTTTAAATTCTAGTTAATGATAGTTACCCTGTTGTACCTAGAACACTAGAACTTATCCCATCTATTTAACCACAAACGTGTACTTGTTCAACAACCTCTCCTGTCCCTTTCCCTCTTTCTACCCACCTCCCCTAGCCTCTGGCAACCACAATTCTACTTCCCAATTCTGCAAGAACAACTTTCTTAGCTTTCACAGAAGTGAGAACATGTGGAAGGCAGAAATTATCTTTCTGTACCTTAACACAGTTCACTATATTCAGTATGTCTCTAGCTTATCCCTGTAGGCATAGATGACAGGATTTCATTCTCTCTTATGGCTTCATTGTTTACATGTAGCACATTTTCTTCATCCATTCATCTGTTGATGGACACAAGTTGATTCCATACCTTGGCTATTGTGAGTAATTCTACAGTAAACGTGGGAACACACAAAAATCTTTGTCGAAAGAAATACTTACAAAGATAGGCAAAGGTATGACATATTCAAAGAGCTGAGAAATTAGTTGTGCCTTGAGCTTTGGTTGGAATCCTAAATGATGAAGTTGAACAGATAAAATGAAATCAAATTGGAAAAGTTTATCAGTCCAAGATGAAAATGTTAAAATATGTGATATAAAGAATAGTCAGCTCATCAAGAAAATATACGATCCTGTACCAAAATCAGTTATATGAAATTGAAGGTTTCTCTGTGGTATGTTTTCTCCTCCCACTCTGAACCACCACCCATGAATTTTATGATGGTATAGGTAAAATGTGAAAGGAAAGCAAAAACTCAGACTATAAAATAGAATTAGAACTTAATGATTTAATGATGACTTGCATTTCAAGTCTATATATTTTAACTACAAAGTTTTCCACTAAACTGTCTCAAGTGACTATCAAAATGATGAGCAACCACAAACTAGAATTATTTAAGGACATTCAATAAGATGGAGTGTATGAGGCATCACATTGAAGAAAATGACAAACAATTCTTTATTTACTTCACATATGGAAGATCAGCCTGAGATCTCAAGCATATCATGGAATCCCCTTCCTCATGATCAGTGGGGAATGAAGAAAGGGGCTGTTAGGAAGCAGTTGTTAGGAATACACCCCACCCTTAAGTACATCGTGGCCCTGACACCACAAACATGGAAGCTTATCCTCTATGAAAGAAGAGACACCAGTCGCAGTCCTACTAGCTCTTCAGCCGACTCCTAAAGAAGGAATCCATGCATTTCAAATGAGATTAGTGATCACAGTGACATTAGTCAAAGAATGTTCCTGTAATTTTTGCATGAGATGCAGGATCAAGCACAGTGAATTTAAAATGCATAAAACACTTTTGTTCAGTAAGTATTGTATTTTTTCTGGATAAATTTTAATTTGGCACAGAAAGATAGGGAAAATGTACCATAGTGCCCCCAGCTTTCCTTTTCCTTACAGCATGAACTAAAGCAAAAAGAAAAGAGGGAAGAGAAAGGAAAGGCAGAAGAATGGAGGAGGAGGAGGAGGAGGAGGAGGAGGAGAGGAGGGGGAGAAGAGAAAGAGGAAGAGGAAGAGGAGGAGGAGAAAGAAGAGAAGAAATTAGGGCAGAGAGGAAGTTGGCCCATTCTTTGGCACAGAAGAATTATTGCCAAACTGTCTTTGCAGTTATCTCTTTATTAAAGATACAAAAATGACAAAATCACAGTAAAACATTTCTCATCATTGCTCTTAACTGATCTTGAAACCTTTGCAGTGATATCCACATGAGTTTTAGAGCACTCAGTGCCATGGCCCCATCACATGCACAGAAAATCTGTCCTGGAAAGATGGACAAAGAGAACAAAGGGTACGAAACACAGGGAATTCAAAAGTGGGAGGAACAAAGGAGAGCCGCCAGAGAAATTCCAGATGAAATCCCATATGAAACAAATATACATTAACAAGAAGACAATTTTCTTAAAAAGTTAAATTTTAATAGATTTTATTTTTTGGAGAAGACTTAGGTTAATACTAAAATGAAACAGAAAGTATAGAGATTTCGCAGATTCCCTTTGCAAGCATAGCTCCCCACCCCCATTATATAACATCCTCTACCAGAGTAGCACATTTCTTACAAATGATGAATCCACATTAACATATAATTATTACCCATGAAATCCATAGTTTTCACTGGAGTTCACTGTTATGAAAATGGAAATGTTGTACATCCTATGTATTTCAAGGAATTTATAATGGCAGGTATTCTCCATTTTATGGTCCCTGCCCTTAATATCCTCTCTGCCTATCCATCCCTTCCTCTCCACTACTACTGGAAACCACTGATGTTTTCACTGATTCTGTAGCTTTGTTTTTCCACACAGTTGGAATTGTACAGTTTGTAAGCCCCTGCTGCCAAGCATTTCCATTTCAAATAAAGAGAAATAAGCTTCCTTTCTTCAAGTCATTTTACCTTCCAAATTCATAAAGTAATTATCTTATGCACATTAAGAATCATGTCACAATATTTTACTTCAATCATCAAATCTATATTTGAACAGGCCAGTGAAAAATGATAGTATACTGTATATATTCATAATTTTACTCTTTCCATTTTTTTCCTTTTTACAACACGGTATATTCAAAGATTACTTACTTTATCAAAACAAAGTTAAATTTACACTTTGGATAAGATTTTAAATTATAGTAAATATTTTAAAATGGTATAATTTAAGAGCAAGAAGCATTGCCTTCAAGGTACTTAATATTACAGTTGCTAGATAATATGAAATTTGGACAGTAAGCCAGGGAATAGATGTTACCAAAATCAAAAATCACTACATACAAAGCTGAGCTTCTTTTTTTTTTTTGCACTTTATTAAATTCTTTTATTGGTACATTTTAGGTATACAACACAATTAAATTTCTCACTGGGAATTGTACCTTTACATAATGCATCTTGGTTCTTATTTTTTCCCCATTCCTAGCCCTCCCTTCACCCACTCCACCCTTCCCTATTTACAAAGACTTTATTTCCATTTTTTCCATTTCTCAGCATTTTTCCTTTCCCTTCTTTCCTTTCCCCTGCCCCTCCCACTACCCCTACCCCTTTGGACCTTTTCTTCCTATTTTACATTATCAATTATTCATTCTAATCATTGGTACATTTTAGGTATACAATATAATGACATTCATCATTGGAAATTTGCACCTTTACATAGTCTCTCTTGGAAAGCTGAGCTTCTTAACACAGAAAAATAAAAGGAGTAGAAAAAAAACATTAAAATTGGGGAAAATTAAAGAAATCTAATATAGATTTAACTCAAGTTATAGATAAGGGACATAGAATAGGGCTATTTCTTTAATAAAATTAAAGAAATAACTTTTAAGTTCCCAATCTGAAATAAATGTATAAAATAAAGTTTAGTTAGTGTCTGAAAAAATTCATACAAAGAAAACAGTACCAGTACCTACATGCTATTAAGGTCAAGAATGAAAAATACATTTGCAAGCATGAAGAGACCAGGTCATTATTTGCCTACAGAAAAAATTGCCCCAAGATAATAGCATGTTTCTCTCTAACAAGAAATGCCTAAAAGATAATGGAATAACATGAACTGAGCTTTGGGAACACTTGGAATGCAAAAATCCTAAACACAGCTCAATTATTATTCAGAAAAGAAAGGAGTACAATGATGCCTGTTCATACCTCATGGCTAAAGAAATAAAAACTGTTGTTATTTTCAGCAAAAAAATATTCAAGAAACTATTCCAGTCAATTGAGAAATGAACTTAAGAAGTCAAATAAGAAGATAGGATATTAAAGATATGGCTGTAGGCAACAAAATCTATAAATTTTGAGAAGATTCTAGCTTTTTATTGCTAATCTATTTATTAGAAGAGTGCTAAAATATGTTGAATGGTGACTAAAAGTCACTATTACAAATCTCTATTTACTCAAAAGTATTCAGCTTAAATAAGAAGATTAAATGATGTTAGCAAAATGCTTATCAACAATTATGTTTTTAAAAGTTAAGTCTTTATAGTAAATCAAAAGAAACTTAGTAGACATAAACTAAATTATTGCATGACTAAAAAATTTCTGGTAGATTAACATTCCAAGAATAAAGACAAACATTTTAATCAGTAACAGTTTGTATGTGTTAATGATTACACATAAATCCATCAATCATTTATACATGTCTGCATCTACAGATTCTACCTGTAGAATATTGCAATAGGCAAAATTACATGAATTATAATTAAATCATATAAAATGGAATGACTAATTTTGCATGTAATTATGTGAAATTACAATGTCACATAAATTATAATTTCTTCTGTTTCATGTTGCTTACTTTACTTCTAGGTGTGCATCAATGGTGAATGTGTAAACATTGAACAAGTCTACAATTCAACCAGTTGTCCTTCTCAGTGCAATGAAAATTCTGTAAGATTTTATTTCTTTTTAAGCTAGTGTCTTACCAGTTACTTGTTTATATAAACCTTCAGTCTTGAGCCTGTCTGTGAGTATGCTTTTTCTTAATCAGATTTAAATTTGACATCCATTCTTTTTATGTGTCATCAATAAAACTCAACTTGGTTAAAGAACCAAGCCACATATTATTGCATACAGGTATTGCTGGTATTGCAAGTAAATGTTGTATTAGTAGATTTGTAATCTAGGTACCTAGCAATTTATAAACCTGTTAAGTTTAAATCTGAAGTTTAAAGTTTGATCTATCACACAGCTATATAAAGTTAATTCACACCCACATTAACATTAGCCTAATAATTTTGAGCAAAACAATACATAATTATAATTTTTTAATTTAACACTACTAAATACTAAGTTTATATTTATGGGTAACATCTTTCCTAATCCCAGTTAATGATGTTTTAAGATTTACTCAGATATTGTGCTCGCTTCAGCAGCATATGTACTAAAAATGATTTAATCAGATATGCACCAAGCACTCTTCCAAGTAGTGTTTGTTTGTTTGTTTGTTTTGGGGAGGGTACTGGGGATTGAACTCGAGTCCTTGCGCTTGCGCAGCAGGTGGCAAAACCATTGAGCTAAATCCCCGGCCCTCAAGTAGTGTATATTTATATGTGTATATGTGTACACTTTTTAAATCTTCTTGACAACCTCAAGAGATGAATGCTATGTCGGTGCCCATCTTAATGGTTGGAATCAGGTGCACTGATGTTGTGGTGGGGAGAGAAGAGAAGCCTGGCTTTAACTCCAAGTAGAGGACCCCACGGTCTTTTCTGCTACCACTACACAGTGCTCTCCTGATGAACTAACCATTTTGCCACCACCTTGTCCCCCTCCATGTTGTCTCATTATTATTAAGCTCAGGATCTGCTCTTTTGTCTATGATGTGTGAGGCTGTTCATTGAAGGGTTTGGAAGTTTTCTGGAAGGATCAGTCACACAGTCTTGCTCATCTGTATGAATTTGTCAGTATCACCCTCTTGTTCGGGGCTTTCTTTAAAGGTGGTTGCTTCTTGTATTTTGTTTGCTTATTTTTGTGCAACATTGATTTTGGTGTGCACTTTAGTTCATTAATCAATAGAACAGTGTGTGTGTGTGTGTGTGTGTGTGTGTGTGTGTGTGTGTTTGGTGTAGAACTAACATTAACGTAACGAGATAGGAGATGTAAAAGATATCTATGCCAGCCATTTGATGGAATCGCGTGCTCAGTTGCTCCTCCAGGAGGATGGCCGTGAACCCGAGTGCCACTGTGGAGAAGAGCAAATCCTCACAGACTGGGAGGAGACCCTAAATGTTACCAGTGAGCATCCTAGACACTAACACGTCACATCTGTCACAAGCCTACCCATTGAGAGGGTTTTTCCTCATTTTCCAGATTTGCTATATATTTCTTGTACTTTTACATGACATCTGATTCATTTGATCATTTTACTATTTTGCATGCTTAGAAACCCAAGTTGAATTTTCTACAATTGCCCTTTACAATTAATATATCCCCTTTTAGCTAAATGTGGCTTATTTCTTCTAAAACTCTGCAATACAAAAAGGCCTTAAGAGTCAGTTAATAACAACAAAATCTTTTCTTGTTGATTGTGGTTTCCCTTAAATATAACTGAATATAGTTAATACAGATGAAAATTTATATGTTTTGCCTTTTTATTCTATATAAAATATTAAGGGGAAGGGACACGATTCTGTTAGGAAAGAAGTAGTATTGTAATACCTCCATTAAATATTAGCATTCCATTGTTCTAAACGTGATGCCCTGCCCTCAGCCACCCACCTCTTTTTTTAATGTTGCAGGTATCTCCATCATGGTCATTGTGCTTGTTATGATTGTTATTGGTATTGGAGTTGTCGCATTGTTAATTTGTTACCAAAAATGTGTTAAGTTGAAGCAAGTTCAGAGGTATGTCTACATTTCATGTTGAAGGGGACAATTACTCAGATATATAAGCTTGGTGGTCATAAAGGACTCAATGTAGGAAAATATTAAGTCTCTTACTGAATACCAGGTAGAAGGCATGGCAAATCAAACTTTTACATACCAGCAAATGCTTACTCCACTGGTTATCAAACTTTGCTGCACTTTGAAATCACTTAAGTATCTTTCAAAAAATACTGACCCAAGACATTGTGATTTAATTTTTATAGGGTACAACCTGACTATCTGTGTTTAAAAAATCTTTTAGTACCTCTAATCCCAGTAATTTGGGAGGCTGAAGTAGGAGGATTCCGAGTCTAATGTGGGCAACTTAGTGACTTGGTGAGATCCTGTATCAAAACAAATACAACAGGCTGGGAATGTAGCTCACTGTGAAGGCCCTAGGTTCAATTGCCAGCAGAGCAAAAAGCAAAAACTCAAAAAGTTCAGATTTTTGGGTTGGGAATTTAGCTCAGTGGTTCCACTGCCTGCCTCACAAGCACAAGGTCCTAGGTTTGATCCCCAGTACCAAAAACAAAAACAAACAAACAAAAGAATAGCAAAAAGCTAAGATTTTATATTTAACCACAAACCTATCCCATGGCCTGTGTTCATGTTCAATTTCTATCCTGACAGCCCACCTGGTGACACACTCGGAGTGGAGAATAAAGGATACTTGGGAGATGAGCAGCCCAGGAGACCTGAGCCAATTTTGTCTGAGATTCCTCATCCACATGTAAGCAATTTTCTTTGTGATAATTCATGGATGCTAAAAGTATAGCTGTGTGTGTTTTATAGTGGAGCTGGCCCTACATGACATGAAGCAGGAGAGGCTAAGAAGCAATGTAATAGAGTTCCATACACATGAAACTCTCAATCAACCTACAGGGCAGACAAGGGGATTGGAACTACATCCAACATGGAACAGCTGCCCAGACTTACGTCAGAGAAGAACATACTGACAAAATATAGCACAATGTTGCACTCTAATGGGAAAATAGGCAATCACAAACCTCAGTCTAAACCATAAATTTAGAAGAAGCAGTCATACAAAGTATTTTCTCAAAATAAAATTGTATTAGAAATCAGTAACAAAAAGATAAGGTAAATAATTCCCAAATGAAAATTAGGTTTCCAAATTCTAAAGAACTCCTATGTCAAACAGACAATCAAAAGGATAATTAGAAAGTATTTTAAAGTAAATAAAAATTAAGCACAATATATCAAATATGTGGGATGCAGTGAAATTAGCCACTAGAGGAAAGTTTATGACATTAAAAGCATGTAGTAGAAAGATAAATGTCATTAATAATCTCAGCTTTCATTTTAAGAAATTAGACAAAGGAAAGTAAATAAACCCAGCATATGCAGAGAACAAGAAATTAGTATCAAGTAGATCAGAAATGGAGTAGAAAATGTAAGAACAACAGACAAAAATCACTGAAAGCAAAAGCAGATTTTTTTCAGAAGATAAGTAATTCTACAAACGTCTAGTCAGAATGATTGGAAGAAAATGAGCAGAAGGGAAAAGAGAAGGAGGGAAAGAGAGAGAGAACCAGCACAGATTATCAATGCCAGGAAGCAGAAAGGTGACATCACTGGAGATTCTAGGCATATTAAATTGATAATTAGAAAACATTGTGAAAACCATTATTTCAGTATATTTGAGAATATAATGAAGTGGAAAACTGTCAAAGATACAAATCACTGAAGCCTACTCACTTGTGGAACAAATAGAGGATTTGAATATCTCTATAACTAGTAAATAAATTTTGAGAAGGTGAGAAGATAAAATAATTTATAGAAAAATTCTGTGTGATCTATGGCTGTGGATGTGACAGTGCAAACCTGTGTTCCCAGCACTCCAGGAGGCTGAGGCAGAAGAGTCACAGATTCGAGCCCAGCCTGGGCAATTTAGTGACTTAGCAAGTAAAATATTTGACACACACAATTTCAGGAAGGAGGGGTTTATTTGGCTCATGGTTTGTAGAGCTTTCAGCCCATTGTTGGCTGGCTCCAAGGCAGGCACATGGCAGAGGGGCGTCACAGAGGAGAAGCAGTCCATGGCAGGGCAGCTGGAAACAATGAGATCAAGCAAGGAGGAAGGGAGATAGACACTTCCAGACCACACTCCCAGGGACTCGGTTTCTGGGAACAGGCTTCACCTCCCAACATCACACTTAGCTGTAAGCTCATCAGCAGATTAATTCGCTGATGAGTATCAAGCCCCCATGATACAATCACCTCCACACCTGTAAGTGCATGAGACTTTGGGGACATTTGAGATACAAACCTAACAGCAAGTCTCTGTCTAGGAATAAAAGAAGAAAGGGGCTGGGGATGTAGCTCACTACAGAGGCTCTCAGTTTCATCCTCAGTACAAAAAAAAAAAAATGAAGAGAAAAGTAGGAAAATTCCATGGAATAAACAAAAAGTAAATTTGTAAGATTTTCAGGATACATGATTAGTATGCCAAAATTTATTGCATTTTCATAGACTACTGAGAACAACTGCAAAAACAAAATGAAATAACAAAGTAGCATTTACTATAGCATAAAATACCAAAAACTCTAAAATGTTATTAGGGATTAATATGATAAAAGGTGTACATAGAGAACTGCAAAGTTAATGAGAAAAATTAGATAACCAAATAACATGATTGTGGATCAGAAGGCTCACTTTTTCTGTGTCGTCAGTTGTTTCTCATTGATCTACAGTTTAAAACAATCCCAATCAAAGTATCAGCAGGAAAGTTTTATAAAACTACTAAGTGAATTAATGAAGTTACAGATTAAAAAGGACAGTAAACAAGTATTAACTGTATTTCCACATACTAGGAACAAAGAGTGAAAATAAAAAGTATAATTTGAAACAGCACCGAAAGCATGACATATTTAGGGATAAATCTGACAAAATATGAAGCAGAATCCACATGCAAAGTGGCAATATATTTCTGAGAAAAAAATTAAAGGTACTAAATAGGGTAAAGAGTGCAGGATGTGCTCAAAGTATGTTTGTTATATGCATGTATGAAAATAGCACAATAAAACTCATTATTCTGTATAAATAATATCCACAGCTTTTTCAAAAAGACCTAAATAAGTTAAGGTATACATCTTATTGGTCAGAAGAATCTGTATCGTTAATACATGAGCTTTCATCAAATTGTTCTATGCTTTCAAAATAATCACAATTGAAAGTGAAAGGCTCTTTTAACTAGAAATTGGTATCCTGATTCTAAAATTCATGTGGAATATAAATTACCCAGAGCAACTGAAGAATTCTGAAAAGGCAGAATGTAATTTGTAATTTACGCTACTTGACTTCAAGACATCATAAGACTAAGCAATCAAGACAAGGCGATATTGGCATGAATGAGTATAGACAAATATACCGGTAAAATAGAATAGATTTAAGAAACAGACCCACATGTTATGGTCAACTGAATTTCTACACAGGTCCAAATGAGGTTCCATGGAGAAAGTGCAGCCTTTTCACAAGTGGTGCAAGAACAAGATAGAAGATCTTATGTGCAAAGATGGACTTTGATCCATTTTTGAAACATTACACAAAATTTACTCAACCTACAACATACACATAAATATATGCATCTATGTGTATCTTTTTCCTGTAAATTTTTAAAAAATTCAATGTACATAACTAAACTGTAAACTTTCTGTGTGGAAATCATTACTTTAAGTCAGGAAAAGTGACTAATCTCAGGGAGAAAGTAGTTGTCAATCACAATGGTTACTCATGGAGGTCAGGTCCTATTCTTAAGAAAGACAGGAAATATGAGTATTTAACTTACAAGGTTTATTAAGTTGTGCACTTCCTTTATGCGTTTGTGTTTTTAATCTGTAACTTATTTACTTATAAAAAGATTAAAAGTAAGTAAAACAATGATATTTATAAATGGAGATCTGGACAATGGAAGTTCCTAAATAGTCTGAATAGTAGAGTTAATGGGAAGAATTGGTATTATGTACTAAAATCAGTCATATACATGCCCTGAAACCCATCATTTTCTGACATAAATACACCCGACAGAACTGCGCACTTCAGAAAGCATTTATAGTGATATTCCAACATCACTGTTTGCAAGAGCTAAGAAGTCAAAACATTCTGAAAGTGCAAAGAAAGTAAATGAATTGCCATCTGATATGATGGACCACTACAGAGAAGGTTCAACAGTTGAACTACTGTTATCTCAACTTGAATATAACTCTGAAACACACTGTTAGTAAGAGAAGCCAAGTTCAAAAACAATCTAAGATTGTAGATTACATCAAATTTCAAAAACTGGCAAACACAAATCGGGTATTAGGAATCAGGATAGCAGTTACTATATGGAAAGGAGGGTCTTCATGAGAGATTTTGAATTTTTATTTTTTATCTAAGTAGGATTGGTCCCAGAGATGTGTTCATCTGTAAAAATCCATCTACCCTGCACTCTTGGGAGAGGGTACAGGAGACTCAAAATTTAAGACTAAGTAATAACTGATTGTTTCCAGATGCAAGTGCCATTAAATATATATGATGCCAGTGTTTGAAAATAAAGATCTTTGTACTTATTGGTACTGATCTTAGTTACAAGCTCCTGATGTTTTAAAACTTTTTCCAGATGCTACATATCCCATAAGCCCTGTGTCTTTACTGCATAATATTGCAGAACATGCCGCTTTCCCGCTCCTGAAAACACACACAGGATGTTTCAGCAGAAATACCTCTGTTGAACTTCACTGTAGTCTTCAGAGGTGGATAGTTCAGTTATTTTGTTATATGATAGTTTGCAATCATTTTCATCTATTTACACCTTTTATTTTGCCAATAGTAACCCTGAGATGGTAAAAACAAAAGCCTTAGTTGTCTATCTTCTAAACGTAAAATAGTATGTGATAATTTTTCAGCTTAGATGGAGACTTTCTGATATGAAACCACTAATAGTATTATATGCTAATATCAATCTCAGAGATTTATACTGAGTTTTAAATGGAAACTGCATGCCAATGTACTTAGCACAGTGTTGGTATATTTAGCACTTAATGTGTGTTCATTATCTATGTTGTCTTGCATGCCATTGCAGTTTCTTTCCTAATTAAAGTTTCCTGAAATTAATATGTAAATTAGCCACATTCTCAAAGAAGGGAGTGAGGCAAAGGTGCCTGAGCATCAACAGATTCAAACAAAGCTGGGGTATATTTGTTACATTTCAGGATTGTAAGCTTCTTTAGAGGTTTTGGGTTTGGGGGTAAAATAAGGGCCCTGAGAAGGGAAACTTGGTACACATTAGTTGAATATCAGCATAAATTCAATTTATTACTTGTGTTACATGCCTTAAGATAAACAGGGTTTACAAACACATATTTTACATGAGAACTTGGGTCCTCTAATCTCATGTTTTAGGTTTTTATCTTTGTCATAATATTATACAAATAATAATGAGCTAGCAACATACTTGTTTGACACAAGAATTTCCCATCAAAAGCCAGTCCTCGGGCAAACTGTCTTGAGACATTTCATTGGCGTGATTTCTCTGTCATATTAACTGATGTCTGGTGTTTCTCCTCTGGCATTCAGTGCCTCTCCCAGGTCCCATTGTCACAACAGTGCCTCCCAGAGATCTCACCATCTTCTGGAAATTAACACCACAGAGAGGGTGGTCTCAACCAAGCCCATGTGTATTTTAATAGGCCATTCTGGAGGTTCCCAAAGACTTTCTAAAGCCAAAGTAGTGTGGCTGGCTGCAGAATTTCAGGATGCAGATAATTAGAGCTATTAAAATTTGGAAGCTAGAGGCTCCACCTGGTGCTATGCAAATCACAATATGTAAAGAAACCCCCAGGATCCTCCCACATGAGTTTTCTTTTTAGCCAGACCTTAAATCCATCTGTTATAAGACAAGAATCTAAGAAAGAATATTGTTTCCATGTCTTCATGTCTTTTGGTAACTGTGTATTTACTAAGAATATATTCCAAGGCTAGAAAATGTATTCAGTGGGCTTGGGAAATAGTTGTACTTGCTAAATATAATTTGCATGGTAAAGATATCTTTTTCTTTTTCTTTTTTTACTAACAGAGGACAACAGAATCCTTGGAGAGCCTTCCACCCAATTTTTCAAGTCCCCACTACCCCAGTCTGGTACGTCCCTGCGCCTTTCTGTTGCCTGTGGTAATCTGTGTCTATTTCATTGATAATTTTGATGCCACTCACCCACGTCTTGGTTCCTTGCAAAGGCTCAGTCACACAGCTCTTTGATTGGAGGGGAGACTAGGACAGGACACTCTGGTACAGAATCAAACTTCCTAGCAAACTTCTTAGGATGAAGCAAGTGAGGTGAACCTTGCAAAGCCTGAGGCAGCCCTGTCTTTGTTAAAATGGTGGTATTTTACTCATCATGAATTCTTGATGATTAATTTTAATTTTTAAATAAACACATATTAATGTTATTCATTATGATTCTTGAGTTCATTTTTACCTTTAATATTCTGCCCCCCTGAGATGAGTGCCCAATCCCTTCACCCTAGTCCCAGCCCCAGATCTAATGCTTTTTAATGAGGCTTTGATCAGTTCAAGAGTTCTAGAACTTTCACTTAGCCAAGGTGTTTAAAAGAATAAAGAATCATCACAGGATCCCTCAGAATCAGCCAAATCTTTAGTTTCTACATATCCTCTAAGTCCTCCAGTAGAGGATCCCTCAGAACCAGGCATGGAATGCAAGATTCTTACATTGGTATTGTAAAATCAGCAATGCCCTCCCCACTGGACTGTATCCCAGCACCCACTCCTTTATAAAGTTTTTAAAAATTTGAGATAGGATCTTACTAATTTGCCCAGGCTGGGCTCGAATCATGATCTTCCTGCCTCCAGAGTGCTGAGATTACAGGCCTGGGCCCCTGTACACAGTGTGTTAGGTTGTTTTTAATGGATGATTGAAAGGCTATGATTGGAGCAGTTTTCAGGCAATGGGTTCTCAGAAACTTCAGATCACAGAAAAGGATTTTGGATTGTGCTAGAAAGTACTCCTGCTCTGTACGATTAGATCACCCCATTCTCCATGGAGCCAAGGTTGTGTGTCTTTCAAAATAGGTTCTTCTGAGGTCCTAGTAAAGATACTATCTGAATGAAAGTATTGATGCTTAAAAAAGGATTGCAAGTCTCTTAACTAATATATTCTAAGGAAGATTTACAAGTTTTATGTGGCCTAATGGTTTCTGATAAAACTTTACCTAATCAGAACTATCCACTCTGTCACCATCCAATAGCAACTTACAAACCATCTTGGACTTTTCACAGAGCAAGAAGTAGTCTGAGCATGTGTGTGTGTATGTGTGTGTGTGTGTGTGTGTGTGTGTGTTCATAATGCATGTATGCACATGCTTGGATGTGTGCTTCCAATATCTGCTGCAATTCCTGATACACATTATTTATTACAGAAATCTGCAAGTAAAGATCCAAGAGGAATTGCAGATTCCAAACAAAGTGCCAACGTGGTAGGTTCCTGGTGACAGGAAATACCTCTCTCTTTTATTTTACAAATCCTGGCATCTTTTTATGTCCTCTATTACTCATTGATTGACTGGGGTCAGTCTCTGTACTTATCAAGAGAATAGGATGCCTAAAACTGTTTTCACTATATGCTGACATGTCTAACAAAGAATGCTGCCAAGTATGTTTTAGTGCAAGATTTTTGAACTTGGTCAAAGGAAGAAGCTAGAAATCAAGAGTTTCAAAGTCTCAATATATACTAGAAATAAGAAAAGCAACACTTTTCTCTTAGACTTCTGTTAGCCAGAATATACAGCCCCATGAGTTCTAGAAGTATTTTAAAGGACATAACAGTGTTGGTAATTGCAGAAAAGGAGCATTGTTTTTCATGATTGCTTTACTAATATTTTCATTACCTAATCAATAAATGACTGAGGGTAAAGAGTGATTCACATTTAAATTGCTACATCTATTTTGCAAAATATATGAAAAAGTTAGGAATTTTGTCCCAGACAAACATATGACTATTGCTTGGCTACATTTCTGAGTTTTTGTTTTCCTACCTTCCTTAATTCCTTTGAGTTTCCATAATGTACTCAGTACCAGATCAGTGTGAAATTTTCCTCCACAAATCCTTCTTAGAAGGGCTCATCTCTATTGCAGATACACTACTCCCATTGGACAGAGAGAGCAGGACATTTCCAAATGGTCCTTCCCCTGCATAATGCCAAACCTGTCCCACACGGCGTGGAATGAGGTGATGCTGCTTAGTCAAGCAAACTGTTTGGCACCTTGCACTGGAAAAAAATTTTCTTTTTTCCTGTTATAGACCTCTGCATTTAAAAGTGCATAATTAGCTATGGATAAGGAGATCTTTAGAAGTGTGAATATATGTAGTACAACAGAACTTAGAAAAGTTATTTCAAATAGTAGACATAACTGATTTACTAAAATACATGTTAGTGGACTTTATAGAAAGCAACTTATTTTTAACCATCTGTTTTGTTTAGAGCTTGAAATTGGATATCCAGAATGGTTGTGCAAGTCTGGGTTGAGGACCTGGACATGAGATCTTCAGTCCTCTCTAGATATTTCCTATACAGCTTTCAGTAATTTCTCAGATGATCTCTACCAAGTCAAGAAATGTTTAAGAGAAACAATTTTTGTCTGTTAATATTTACTTATAGAATTCACAACCTATGGCATAGACATATGCTACAGAAAAACAGATGTCTTGTGGCTTTTCAAATGCTTAATATAAATATAAGCAGTCTTTTTGCTCTCATGTTCTGCAGCAAAATGCTAATCTAGTTAACTTTAAAAAGTCAAAACTTGGAGGATAACTTATAAACCTGAGATTAGGAAGCAAAATATCATTTGTGGAAGGTTACTTCTTTTGGGGCAAGAAAGTACTCGCGTTAATTTGAATGTGACATTATTACCACAAGACCTGGTTTTAATGAAATTGTCTCCTGAAAAAATGCCAAGGAGGGCAGTCCCGGGGGTGGGGGGCATAAATTTCAGAAGTTAATTAACAGCGAAGGAGGCAGAAGAGTAGCCACTGTGACTACAAAACGGGCCTTAAAGTTGCCCCACTATAAACAGGGAACATCCTTTGAATCCTAGGTTTGCCTTTCTAGAATTCCCTAAGAAGCTGACCGAGAAGCCTGAGTGTTGGGATAATTTAGAAAACTAACTCCAGCTCTGAGGACATGCTCATAGTCTCCATGCAGGCCTTTAAGGGTCTTCAGGGTGCAAGGCTGTCCCCACTTCCTGTTCGGTTTGTGTCCCCGCCCCCCCATCCCTGTCATTCCAGGGTGGTGCCCAGGCCTGTGTTGGGAATGATTCAGCTCCTTCCAGCCCTTGCCTCTCTGGGGGTTCTCCTGGGTTCTCTTTGCTCTTTGTGAACTGTTAAGCCTATGACTGCCATTTTTTTTTTCATTTACTGAAATAAAGTTCTCAAGTGCTAAATGAAAATGCTCTGATTCAGTGAAGTAAATGAAGGCTGCCAACAAGGGAGAAAGGCGGTTGCCCTTGGTGATACTTCGGGCCCTGCTGATTGGCCTTTCTTTCAGTGGTGTGTGGACCAGCCATTTGCCAGCCCTCCACACCTGTCAGCTTCCCGTGCATCTGTTGTGTAGTCAAAACCGCCACTTTAAAAAAGAATTGGTAAATGTGTTCCTCAAGCAAATGACACTCATTTAAATATTTTACAAAAATTTGTGGGAAGCAAAAAGAGAAAATCCACATCTGGTATATAGTAGCTTCATTAAGGCAAACAATAATCCTCTGGTGTCTAAAATTAAGGGACAGTCATCTCTTCCTATTCTTCTGAGCACGATATATGTTGATGACCAATACACATCTTAAATATATTTTTGTTAATGCTGATTACCTTTATAAAATATTCTGTTTCAATGTGGTAATTTTATACATGCATGTAACATATTTTGATCCTATTCATCCCCTTTAGCCTCAAATAATACTCATTTTAGTAATATCATATTCTCTTTGTAAAACCATGACCATCCTTTGTTATTTTTTGTCATTATTCCCATATCTTTTTTGGAAAACTTAATCAGCACCGTCCATTTCTGCTTTGGGATCCATCTAATTACCAATTTCTTATTGGTATTTTTCCCAACCCAATTATAAATATGTCAGGTAGCAGCTAAATTCTTCACAACTTTCTGGTTAGATAATCTCTAGATTTCTTCAAATAATCCCAGGCTTCCTCATGGCTAAGACTCTTTGGTTTTAGGTAGTGCTCTCCAAGTCTGTCCACGCTTCTTAGGCCAGGCTTTAGCATTTTGTTCAACCCTCTCAAATGCTACCACTCTCTTCTCTGTTCTTAGGTATCCTCTCTTTCCTTTCAGTGCTGTGTACAGATTGGGAAGTGACCCTCAAAGTTCCTCCTTACTAGTGGTTCAGCTAGTAAAGAGAAGTTTGCCCCCATGAGGTTCATGGTGATTTCATAGAAATTCGTGTCAGGAGTTCTAGCTGCATCCTCTAGCATAGTGCAGCAGGAGTTAGAATAAAGTCATTTTGCTGGTCAGATACTATAATCAGTTTTTCTGGTTGTGAGTGTCTCCACAATCTGCATACAAGCCCCACCGGTCTCTAATCCTGGATTTTACCCCAATCTGACAGCTGCATTCCTGTATCTAACCCAGTTGCGGGAATCAGGGTCTCCAGGTTCTACTCAAATGCAGCTCTAACCTAATGCTTTCTGGCTCCTCTGAATCATTTGTCTTGAATCCACCCTTGCTGACAGGAATACTGCTAGGGATGGGCAGATCTGCTAGGCCTGTTGTCTAAGACTTCTTGCTGCCCTGCCACATGTTTAGTCCTCCTGATGCTGGACCCTGCCTAACTCACACCAAGCATGTTACCTTGTGGAATGCTGGGGTTGGGTACTGGGCTGACTGCTGGTCAGAGGCAGATTTACCAAGAGGTGAAAGAAGCTGAGCTTCAGAGCTCATTATCCATATGGTCCCTTCTAATATTTTGAATCTTCCAATTTTCTATCTACCCTCCCCCTTTCTCCTACCCACCCTCCCTCCCTCCCTTCCTCCTTTTTTCTTTCCTTCCTTCCTTTTCATTCCTTTCAATGCTAGGAATAGAGCTTAGGACCTGCTTCATGCTACTCATGTTCTCTGCTACTGAGCTGTACCACATGTCCTACACCTTTTTAGGACCTCATTGGGCTAGATTTGGGTTGAGGATGGGAAACCAAATGTTTTATGAACAAAAACAGCCACACCCACAGACAACAAATAGGACAAAGATGCATCTTGGTAGCTTGAGTTTGTAGCTCAGCTGAGGTGAGGAGTGAACCAACCAGAGATGGACATGGGGTGGGAAGCGGTTCCATGTTTCAACTACTTCTCCACATAACCCTGGGATGTGTGTGTGCGGGGTTAGGGACCTGGGACAGAGCCGCAGAAAGTAAAACACACTTAGAAGACCGACACCAGCTGAACTTTGACGGAGCACCCCATGCCCCTTCCAGCCTACATACAGATTGGTGGCCTAAGGCCTGGAGTTCCACAGGCTCTGGTGTTTTAAGTTAAATTTCTGCCCAAAGCACTGAACCCTAAACAAAGCAGACATAGGGGCAACTCATCGAAAAACAGGATAGGTTACTTTCAAAAACACTCAGAAAGATTACCAGAATCCATATCTGTTAAAATAAACTGTATAAACCATATTTGCAAAGAAATCTCAAATGTATTTCTACATTATTTCCTTCAGAAATACAGCAACGGTGATCCAACACACAACAGAAACCTTTGCCCTTTCGTGACTGACCAACACCCCTAATATTGGGTCGAGTATTCTCAGGTATAAGCCACCTCCACACAGCCTCTCTGTCTCTCTCTCACAGAAACTGTCCTGCCACTGAGTGTAGAATTCACACCGGATGTGCTAAAATTGGAAAGTCACATTCTAAAGAAAGGTGATGACTTCCTTACTGGCATGCGAAGTCTCTGTAGCTGAGGATCCAGGAATGGCATTCATGAGACCACTAGGGGGCCACAGAGCTAACTAAATTTCACAGTAGCTGGGAAATTGCTCGGCGAGTCTAGTGCTTTTCCAGAAATCTCTGGGCCTTCAAAAACTTGACTTTAGAGTTATTAAGAAATTCGCTAAATTTTGTTCTTGAGTATTAGCTGTGAAAAGCGAGGTAAATTATGCCAGATACACTCTACTCTACAGGGAGTGGGCCAAAGTAAACAAGGATAGACCACGCCTAAACAAAGGGAGGACAAGCTGATATCTTGAAACCTTTGGAGGGAGATTTCTGGATTAGAGAAGCAAGTCCTCTTTACTCTCAGTATCAAATCCAACCCTCTTGATTGGGTCTGTTGAGACATCAACAGACCCAAATAACTAAGGCTTCTGGAAACAAATGTGGGGTTCTAGTTTTTGGTTTTTCAACTATGTATTACTTGTTTGTTGGCTTTTTGAAAGCCAGTGAATTAACAAGGCCCACTGCTGCCATGGAAACCTGAAGAGCTTCCCCCTCCCCAGGGATGTATAATGGATAGTACATGTCAAGAAAAGCCAGCGGCCTGTGAATCTTATCTGACTTAGTGGTGGATGCTTGATGACAATTGATATCCCTGATGTCCCTCTGCTAATCATCACCAAAGAGTGAGAAATATTGATTAGACTTCAGGGCTTATTGGAAGCTTCCTGATCACTTTCTAATTGAAGGTCAGGCTTTTAGAAAACTCAAGAGCCTTAAAGGAAGTGGCTGTGGCTGTGTCCTGGGTTTGACAGAATCCATTAACATTTTTCTCCAGGAAAAGCTGTAATTGTGAACTACATGTAATGGTTATCAATTGCCCACGGATAAAAGATCCAGAAAATAAAAAGATCTTTGGGATCACAGGAACACTAACTGGGCAAAAATTGTATCAGAGCTGCCCTAAAGAATCTCAGAGAAGTAGAGTAGAAAGAAGACAGGGCTGTTTGTACAAGGATACCAGGGATTCACTACCACAACAAGGTGAACAAGCATGGCATTTATTGAGTATACACTCTGTCAGGTGTTATTCTAAGCATTTCACATGTATTATTTCACTTAAAACAACTCTAAGTGCTAACTGCTATTGTTATTCTCATTTTACAGCTTAATAATGTTAAGGTCAAAGTGAGTAAAGTAATTTAACAGATAGCTGATTAAATAGTGTAGTATGAAGTAGTGTCTATTTGAAATAGAATCACAAACTAGGAAGAGTATGCTTTTAATCATTACTATGCTGATGGTATACATACATTTTTTACAGAAAAAAATCAACACACACACACACATACACCCATGCAGGTGAAATTAATTTATCTTACTGTCATTTCAATTTTTCACCCATCAAATTTCCCAACCTTTGCAGCAACAGTAACAGTGATCTATGAGTTTTCATAGCAAGGAAGAGAAAAAACAAAGCCAAAAACAGCTGTCACCCAGTGGAGACAGAGGTGGCTGAGATCCTGTTGTTGAAGGCAGAGCTTTGTAGGGAAATCAGAGACTTTAACACCTCCTATAGCTCTC